CTCTGAATCTTTAGATGTAACAGGAGAAGACAAGAAAGTAGAAGGGGAAGGGGCAAAGGAGTTCTAGAGAAGAGAACAGAACACAGGCTCCATCAAAGAGTGTATGGGGAAAATGGGGGAGGGGATTTTAACTGAGGAAGGGAATAATGTAGAAGGAGATAGAGGAAGGGGAGATTAGTACCAACAAGAATGTCTGGAAAAGTCATAGGGAAAGGTATTATTTTATAATCTTACTTAATATGCATGTAAAATGTGTGTGCACACACATAATAGATATAGGCCCTCTATCAAAAGTTCCAGTGCCTGGCATGGGAAACCTCCCTCCAAGTAGTTAGCCAGGGTAGGCAAAGAGACTCTTCAAACAATATAGACTATTGCCATTGCCTTTGGTTGCCTCCCAGAACCTGAAGGAAAGGCCTTATTGCTGAAAACCTATAACTGCCAATTTCCTAAACCAATATAATTAATACTTAGAAGAAACATTTCATTACAACAGCATTGACATATTCAATAACAATTTTCTAAGCTAAGATGCATCTTTTTCAAAATTGGCTGTAAATTTTTAGTTTTACAGTTGACTTGTTACAGTTATACAGTATTGTGCTCAGTATAAACCCTTTAAGACATAAAATTGAATGAGGTTTTAACCTTTAAAAAAGATCTCTGTTTCATTATTAAAATACAGTTTCATACAGAAAAATTCATTTTCAATGCAATTGACATTAAGATGTTTGCACATGCATTTCTAATCTCTATATATCTGATTATTACTAGTGACAGTTGGTTACTTTCTGAGCTCCTTGGCATCTGAGCATGGATATAAAGTCATCAGGTAGATGTCAATGGTAATGTTTTTCACATCTACTATTTATTATTTTTTAATCATTATTTTTAAATTTTTAATAACTACATGATTAAAGCATTTCACTACAGATTTAACATATTCAGTAACATACTCCAGAGCAAGAGTACATCTCTTTCACAAGTGGGTGCAAGTTTCTAGGTTCATAGTTGAGTTAATACAGTTATACAGTATTGAATTCAGTGTAAGCCCTGTAAGACATAAAATTGAATGAGTTTTTCAACCTTTAAAAAAGATCTCCATTTCATTTTAGAATATATTGTTCCTTTCAGAAAGGCTCATTGTTTTTGCTACTAACACTGAGAGGTTAGCGTATGCATCTCTAATCTGTATGTATCTGATTATTACTAGTCATAATCTGTTGCACTTGGACCCTTGACACCTGTGTATGCCTATAAAGTCATTGGTGGATTTCAGTGGTAATGTTTATCACCTCTACTAATTAACATGACATAAATTTCCATGCTTCCTCCTCAAATATAGTACAATGTTTTTAAAATTTGTTGGTTT